TTTAGGGTTCTGTCTATATTGAGGTTTCTCTCCCCTTTTTTCGGGTTCTCCATTTTTGGGGTTCTGTGCCCCATTTTTAGGGTTCTGTCTATATTGAGGTTTCTCTCCCCTTTTTTCGGGTTCTCCATTTTTGGGGTTCTGTGCCCCATTTTTAGGGTTCTGTCTCTCCCTATATTGAGGTTTCTCTCCCCTTTTTTGGGGTTCTCCAGTTTTGGGGTTCTCCCTGGTTTTGAGGTTCTTGTTTTTGGGGTTCTTGGTTTTGGGGTTGTCCCTGGTTTTGGGGTTCTTGGTTTTGGGGTTGTCCCTGGTTTTGGGGTTCTTGGTTTTGGGGTTCTCCCTGGTTTTGGGGTTGTCCCTGGTTTTGAGGATTTCCTTGGTTTTGGGGTTGTCCCTGGTTTTGAGGTTCTTGTTTTTGGGGTTCTCCCTGGTTTTGGGGTTCTCTCCCTGCTTTCGGGGTCTTCCTTGTTTTTGGGGTTCTCCCTGGTTTTGGGGTTGTCCCTGGTTTTGAGGATTTCCTTGGTTTTGGGGTTGTCCCTGGTTTTGGGGTTCTTGGTTTTGGGGTTGTCCCTGGTTTTGGGGTTCTTGGTTTTGGGGTTGTCCCTGGTTTTGGGGTTCTTGGTTTTGGGGTTGTCCCTGGTTTTGGGGTTCTTGGTTTTGGGGTTCTGATGGTTTTCCTCCCATTTTTGGGGCTCTGACACACCCCCATCGTTTTTGGGGTTCCTGACCGGTTGCTTTTTCCCTTCACCCCAATTTTGAGGTTCCTGGTGGGGTTTTTTTCTTCCCCCCATCCTGGTTTTGGGGTTCCCGACCAGTTTTCCTCTCCCCCACTTGGATATTGGGGTCCCTGCTGTGTCTCCCCCCCATTTTTGGGGTTCTCCCCCCTTTTTTGTGGTACCTGATCCTTCTGTCCCCATTTTTTAGGGTTCTCTCCCTATATTTAGGGTTCTCTCACAAATTTTAGATTCTCTCCCTGTTTTGAGGCTTTCTCCTCCATTTTTTAGTTCTTTACCCAAGTTTTGGGGTTTTGTCTCCCACCATCTTTGCTGTTCTTTCCCCATTTTTAGGTTTCTCTCCCATTTTTTGGGTTCTCTATTTTTGGGGCTCTCTCCCCATTTTTAGGTTTCTGTGCCCTTTTTTGATTTTTCCATTTTTGGGGTTCTCTCCTCATTTTTGAGGCTCTTGTCCGTCATTGGGGTTTTCTTCCCTTTTTGAAAAAGGGGGGAAATGGGAAAAATTGGGGGGGGAATAGGAAAAATGGGAGAAAATTGGGAAAAATTGGGGGAAAATGGGAAAAACGGGTGAATTGGGGAAAATTTGGGGGAAATCGGGGGAAATGGGAAAAGGGGGGGAAATTAGGAAAATTGGAAAAAATGGGGGGAAATAAGGAAAAACAGGGAATGGGGAAAAATGAGGGGGAAATGGGTGAAATTTTTGAAAAATAGGAGGAAATTGGGGAAAAACGGGGAAATGAGAAAAATTTGGGGGAAATGGGGGAAAATGGGTGGAGGGGAATTGGGAAAAATGGGGGAGAATGAGTAAAATTGGGGGAAATGGGGAAAAATTTGGGGAAATTGGGAAAATGGGGGGAAATGGGTGGCAAATTTGGGGTAAAATTGGGAAAAACAGGGAAAATTGGGGGGGAAATGGGGAAAATTTAAGAAAAATGGGTGGGAAAGTTGGGGGAAATGGGAAAAATGTGTGGAAAAAGGACGAGAATGGGTAAAAATTGGGCTAAATGGAGGAAAGTGGGGAAAATGGAGAGGAAATTGAGGGGAAATGGGGAAAAATGGGGATGGAGGGGGGCTGGGAATGGGGAATGTTTGGGGGAGGGGGAAAGGGAAAAATGGGGCAAAAATGGGGAAAATTGGGGGAAGTAGGAAATGGGAAAACATACGGGGAAAAATGAGGAAAAGTGGGGCAGGAATGGTAGAAAATGGGGGGGAGAGAAATAGGGCAAGAATGGGGGAAATGAGGGAAAATTGGGGAGAATTTCAGGAAAAAGGGAAAGGGAGGGGGAAAAGGGGGCAAGAATTGGGAAAACGAGGCAGGAAAGTCCAAAATGAGGAGAAAAAGGGAAAAAATTGGGGGCTGTCTCTGCCCCTCCAGTTTATGGGGATCTGACCTCCCCCCCCCCAATTTGGGGCTTTTGATGAATTTCTCACCCTATTTTTGGGGTCCTGATGGTTTTCCTCCCATTTTTGGGGCTCTGACACACCCCCATCGTTTTTGGGGTTCCTGACCGGTTGCTTTTTCCCTTCACCCCAATTTTGAGGTTCCTGGTGGGGTTTTTTTCTTCCCCCCATCCTGGTTTTGGGGTTCCCGACCAGTTTTCCTCTCCCCTACTTGGATATTGGGGTCCCTGCTGTGTCTCCCCCCCATTTTTGGGGTTCTCCCCCCTTTTTTGTGGTACCTGATCCTTCTGTCCCCATTTTTTAGGATTCCCTCCCTATATTTAGGGTTCTCTCACAAATTTTAGGTTCTCTCCCTGTTTTGAGGCTTTCTCCTCCATTTTTTAGTTCTTTACCCAAGTTTTGGGGTTTTGTCTCCCACCATCTTTGCTGTTCTTTCCCCATTTTTAGGTTTCTCTCCCATTTTTTGGGTTCTCTATTTTTGGGGCTCTCTCCCCATTTTTAGGTTTCTGTGCCCTTTTTTGATTTTTCCATTTTTGGGGTTCTCTCCTCATTTTTGAGGTTCTTGTCCATCTTTGGGGTTTTCTTCCCTTTTTTGGGTTTTCCATTTATCGTGTTCTCTCCCCATTTTTGGTATTATTTCCCCTTTGTTAGGGTTCTCCGTTTTGGGGTTCTCATTTTTGGCATTTATTACCCTTGTTTTGGATTCTCCATTTTTGGGGTTCTGTGCCCCATTTTTAGGGTTCTGTCTATATTGAGGTTTCTCTCCCCTTTTTTCGGGTTCTCCATTTTTGGGGTTCTCCCTGTTTTTGGGGTTCTCCCTGGTTTTGGGGTTGTCCCTGGTTTTGGGGTTCTCCCTGGTTTTGAGGTTCTTGTTTTTGGGGTTCTCCCTGTTTTTGGGGTTGTCCCTGGTTTTGAGGTTCTTGTTTTTGGGGTGCTCTCCCTGGTTTTGGGGTTCTCCCTGTTTTTGGGGTTCTCCCTGGTTTTGGGGTTCTCTCCCTGCTTTCGGGGTCGCTGACTCTGCTCTCCCCCCCAGCCCTGCAGCTGCCCCTGGTGAGCGAGGGGGGCCGGGGGGGGACCCCCGAGAGCCCCCAGCCCGCGCCTCCCCCCCGGCCCCGGCAGATGCTGGGGCTGCCCCCGCCCCCCTTCCTGGTGCCGCGCAGCCTGGAGAGGTGAGGACACGCCCCCGAGCCCTGATTGGCTGCTGGGGGAGAGCCTGGGAGCTGATTGGCCAATGGGAGAGAACCTGTGTGCTGATTGGCTGATTGGGGAAAGCCTGGGAGCTGATTGGCTGATTGGGGAGAGCCTGGGTGTTGATTGGCCAATGGAACAGGAGTCTGCAGCTGGTGATTGGTCGGAGTTTCCAGGAAGATCTTGTGCTCTGATTGGCCAGAGAGTCTAGGGAGATCCTGTGCTCTGATTGGCCAGAGATCCAGTGGGACCGTGTGTTCTGATTGGCTGGGCAGGAGGGTTTGCGCAGTGGTTGGTCAGGTGTTCAGAGCCTGCGGTGCTGATTGGCTGCTGCTCTGAGGGCTTGTGGGCCCTGACTGGCCAGAGCTCGGGGAGTGGTGCGTTCTCATTGGCCAGGAATGAGAGCACTCTCTTTGGGATGATCTCGAGCAGTGATTGGCTGGAGCAGAGCTTGCAGCTGCTGATTGGTTGATGGCTCAGAGGATCCCCGTTGCTGATTGGTCTGGTGGGCAGGAGAGCTGTGTGCTCATTGGCCAGCAGTGGGAGAGCTCCCTGGGTGCTGATTGGCCAGGCAGGTGGGATTTCCTGTCCTGTGATTGGCCAGAGCTGTTACTCCCTGTGTGCTGATTGGCCAGGCTTTCCCCATGCCCTGAGGTGATTGGCTGAGTTCTCCCATTGCCCTGACCTGATTGGCTGAGCTCTCCCCATGCCTTGAGCTGATTGGTCAGGCTCTTCCTGTGATTGATTGGGCTTTCTCCTGAGTTGATTGGGCAGTGCCTCTCCTAGTGCCCTGACCTGATTGGCTGGGCTCTCCCCATGCCTTGAGCTGATTGGCTGGGCTCTCCCCATGCCTTGAGCTGATTGGCTGGGCTCTCCCCATGCCTTGAGCTGATTGGCTGAGCTCTCCTGTTCCCCTCCTAGCATTGAGATCGACCAGAAGCTGCAGGAGATCATGAAACAGACGGGGTACCTGACCGTGGGGGGACAGGTGAGTCAGGGGACAGGTGAGACAGGGGACAGGTGAGACAGGGGACAGGTGAGTCTGGGGACAGGTGAGACAGGGGGGACAGGTGAGACAGGGGGGACAGGTGAGACAGGGGACAGGTGAGTCTGGGGACAGGTGAGGCTGGGGGGGGGACAGGTGAGTCAGGGGGGACAGGTGAGTCTGGGGGGACAGGTGAGACAGGGGGGACAGGTGAGTCTGGGGGGACAGGTGAGAAAGGGGGGACAGGTGAGTCAGGGGTACCTGACTGGGAAGGACAGGTGAGTCGGGGGTACCTGACTGGGAAGGACAGGTGAGTCAGGGGTACCTGGCTGGGGGGGGACAGGTGAGTCAGGGGTACCTGACCATGGGACAGGTGAGTCAGGGGTACCTGGCTGGGAAGGACAGGTGAGTCAGGGGTACCTGGCTGGGAAGGACAGGTGAGTCAGGGGTACCTGGCTGGGAAGGACAGGTGAGTCAGGGGTACCTGGCTGGGAAGGACAGGTGAGTCAGGGGTACCTGACCGTGGGACAGGTGAGTCAGGGGTACCTGACCGTGAGTCGGGGGGAGGGTACCTGACTGTGGGGGGGTTACCTGGCTCGGGGGGCGCAGCTGAGGACTGGGGGCGGTTACCTGGCCGTGGGGGCCCAGGTGAGCCCGGGGCTGTCCCAGGTGGACCCTGACCCCCCTGTCCCCAGCGGTACCAGGCGGAGATCAACGACCTGGAGAACCTGGGCGAGATCGGCAGCGGCACCTGCGGGCAGGTGTGGAAGATGCGCTTCCGCAAGACCGGCCACGTCATCGCCGTCAAGGTGGGCACCCCTGGGGACACCTGTGACACCTGTGACCCCCTGGGGACATCTGTGGGGCTTGTGAGCCCCGGTGACACCTGTGCGCTCTGGTGACACCTGTGGGACTTGTGAACCTCCCCCCATGACACCTGTGATCCCAGTGCCCTTCCAGTGCTCTCCCAGTGCCCCCAGTAAATCCCAGTGCCCTTCCAGTGCTCTCCCAGTGCCCCCAGTAAATCCCAGTGCCCTTCCAGTGCTCTCCCAGTGCCCCCAGTAAATCCCAGTGCCCTTCCAGTGCTCTCCCAGTGCCCCCAGTAAATCCCAGTGCCCTTCCAGTGCTCTCCCAGTGCCCCCAGTAAATCCCAGTGCCCTTCCAGTGCTCTCCCAGTGCCCCCAGTAAATCCCAGTGCCCTTCCAGTGCTCTCCCAGTGCCCCCAGTAAATCCCAGTGCCCTTCCAGTGCTCTCCCAGTGCCCCCAGTAAATCCCAGTGCCCTTCCAGTGCTCTCCCAGTGCCCCCAGTAAATCCCAGTGCCCTTCCAGTGCTCTCCCAGTGCCCCCAGTAAATCCCAGTGCCTTTCCAGTGCTCTCCCAGTGCCCCCAGTAAATCCCAGTGCCCTTCCAGTGCTCTTCCAGGCTCTCCAGTGCTCCCAGTACATCCCAGTGCTGCTGGTGCCCTCTCAGCGCTCCCAGTGTTCCCAGGGCCTCCAGTGCCCTCCCAGTAAACCCAGTGCTCCCAGTCCATCCCAGTACTCTGCCAGCCTTGCCAGTGCTCCCAGTACACCCAGTGCTCCCAGTGCTCCCAGTCCATCCCAATGTGCTCCCAGTACACCCAGTGCCCCCAGTGCTCCCAGTACAGCCAGTGCCCCCAGTGCTCCCATACACCCCGTCCCCCCAGTGCCCCCCA